GAGAGATATATATATATATATATATATATATATATATATATATATATATATATATATATATATATATATTAACGTCTCTGAAAGCATGTAAATGACTCCTTTGCTCAGACTTCTTTGCCGTTTACGTTTACAATCTGGTCCATAAGATTGTCTTGTGCTAGGGTAGAACCGTGAGGATACAAAGCCACGCTTTTCGAAAGACTGGCATGCATTGACACCCTCCACGCTAATAATTTCTGCGTGTGAAGGTGCTCCACATGCAGTCTTAATGACAACCGACTGGATTCCTCAAGTGCTGTTGCTATGCGAGCGGGCCAATTTGTCTGTCAATATGTCAATCTGGCTGTACTTAGTACTAATAAAGAGTGTTGTGGACGTAATGCAGTTAGCTATGAAAGTTGCTCAACGCCATCCCTTACAACGGTTTGCGGTCGATGTATGTATCCAGCAGCTACCTTACGGCGCTAGAAATGAAACTAGCGTGACATGTACATGCAAACGCCATTTCTGAGCATTCTTCCTTTGTCAATACTCTGCATGATCTTTATTGTTCTGAACCGTTGGGATGCAAATCAATAGTGGCATTGACCCATATATATAACTGCTACGTTAGTATCGATTGACTCGTACTGGCCCGTAGATCAGTCAATGAGGCATACGATCACACAAAATGTATCTTTGCTTAGTCATGGAGGCGCCCGCCAATCAGGATGTTGACAGCAGTGATAACTTTCGCAACGACTTGAAGACTTTCCTTCCTCCAGCTAAATAGGAGCTACATCTTTGCCTCTTGCAGTGTGTACCAAAAGTACATTGTAAGCACAACGGAATGCAACGAAAGGGACATAAGTTTCCTCCCAGATCTCGGAGGACTTGCATTGAAAGAAATAGTACAATTCAGTGAAAATACCTGAAAGCCGGGTATAAAGACAGCGAGCATCGAATAGCACAAACGGGGCTGATTTTATGACAACTGTTTTTAAACACAGTCAGGAAACAAATTGTTCCCCATTGAAACATACCAGGGCGTAATTCCGCAACATGCGTTACGGAGCTCAGGTGCGCAAGATGACCCACCCGACCCAAAAATACCCCAACAAACGGGTTTCTCTCCAAATGAAGTCCAAAGGTGCGGGTTTTGATTCCCCACGGTGCCCACTGCTCTTGCCAGGCAGTGAAACAGGCGACGTGATATAGCGCTGGCAGCTGAGTATGGTCTAAAGCACCAAGACACGCCACATTGCAAAAAGAACGAGCTTTCAGGCAGCGCAAAGCGCATGGCGGGTCGCGCAATTACGTGTCGTTGCCAGTTACAAGTTGGCGCCCCCTCCCCCTTCAGTGATAGGGGTAAAATAGTCATTGCTCTAAAGCCGTTAACCTCTAAGGTGCATCAGGCGTAAGGGTGCTCGTGAAAGACTTGATCGCCGGTTGCAATGAGGTGGTTTTCTGCATAACCGGGTCTGCGTACCAGGTCAATGGCGCCATCGAACACTAATGCACCGCTCCTGTCCAAGCTGTTAAAATGCGGGAACCATGCATACGATGCCACCTCTCAACGCAACTCGAAGATATGATAGTACATGCGAGGCAAAATGTCAATGCAGAACAAGGGCCAAATAGCTTTTTTATCTGGCAAAACAGCTTTAGGCATAATTTATTCCTTACCTTGTTGATCGCACTCGCTTGCTGGACAATCCAAGACCACGATGTTTGCCGCCATGGACACAGATCAGAGACACTTTGTAGTACACCAAACACCTAACAGCATCCTCAGCATCCGGCTGGCCTCTGAAATACTCAGCCAACTTGCCCTCCGGGTTTTTCTCAAGCTCACTCGATAGCTTGGCAGATTGCCGCCGGCAAAACACCGTGTTGCTGCCATTGCCCAGTTCCTCCACTGCAGCTTCCAGCTCGGCGTACGATGAAAACGCATCTCCCACTCGCAACACCATCGCAGCGGGGATAAAAACGCAACAATAGCCCTGAACGTCCTCAATGTCACCTCCCTGAACAACTGGGAACAACGACACCGGGCGCCCAAGCAGAATGGGTAGTGGGAAGTGCGTTTTCCCGGGATTTGCCAACCTGCCGCACGCACACACTAAGTATGAAAAGTACCGAACACAAATATGATTGTTGTTACTGTTCATGCGTGTTTGAGGTGAAGTTGGCTGTTTACAGCACCCACGCACAAAATCTACTGCTTTTTACAGACATATGTTATTTTTCTGCTGACAAGCGACAGCGCTTCAGGCTACAAAGCAAATGTTGCAAAGTACCTTATGTGCATATGGCAACGTTCATGTCCACCCCTAGGTACCTGCCAATACCTCCTTTCCTTCTTTGTTCGGTACCCCAATATTCTGCCGTGTGCAAGACATCGATGTGCTAATGGGGGGGGGGGGGGGGGAGGGGCAGGGAAAGGGGACGGAGCATAATTTTTTAAACCAATATTCGTTCACAATTGGGCATCAGGTACTCGGGGACGCATAACAATTAAGCTCTATGATTACATTTGCCAATACGCCGTAGTGTAAATTTGGGGCCGTGGCCATTTCCCGTACACCAATTGAAGGTACAAGGGACAAGGAGTCTCACGCTGGTAATAACCCATATACGGCTCATGACTACATCATGACGCTGATTTTCACCTTCTTTCAGGAGTCATGTATGATGAAAAGAGGAAAATTGCGAGCCCCAGACACGACACCCCCCCCCCCCCCTCCTCTCTCTCCCCCTCTCTTTCGGCTGGCTGCACTCAACAATTTGCTGTTCTTGATATGTGCAACACATGTTGAGCCTTAGGTAGCTTAATATCTAGGCAGTGCGTATACACCCTCCAAAATGGAGGGCGGTTACGCATCGGGCTTATACACCCTCGAAAACAGAGGGGGGTTACGCACCGGGGTTATGCACCCTCCAAAATGGAGGGTGGCTACGCACTGGGCTTATACACCCTGTACACATTATATCATAAACCCTAATATACACCCTATACACATTATACACCCCCCTTGGGCCACGAAGGGGCCCATTGGCTCCGGAGGGCCGATAGCCGGCCGAGCAGGTGCAGTTTTTTAACACAAAACGCGACAAAACTGGGCATCTCTGGACTTTCAGGCGACCAAGAACAGTTGTAAGCGAAAGTGAAGGGCCTATGAGAAGTCACCAAAATTACCCAGTGATTGCAAAAGTTGTGAAATGGAAATGTTAAGCCCCATTGCACCGTCTAGGGCCCCATGCTGTTTCCGGGAACCTATATGCCACTTGCAGGTTCATTTCGGTCGTTTAGAAGCATTCCACGTTGTCCTTCATTTCTTTGCATTTGCTCAGAGGGCCCCGCGCTGTTGTTGGGGCCCTTCCTGTTAGCGTGCCGGGGAAGTCTTGTCAATCACGGGCCCTTCCACGGATTATTTCCATTGGCCAGAAAGGCTCTGTGAGCGGTAGCCAGAGTCCCATACCTTAACCTCCCGGGGTATTATCGGTTGCCCAGGGGCCCTTTACGTGGGCATCGGTTAACCTACCGACACACTTGCGATGCCCATGGGTACTCCACATTGGTCTAGGGCGTTTCCAATTCTCTGTCACTTGCTTAGAGCTCTACAATCTTATCGGAGGCTACCTAATGGCCTGCTCAGGCGCACTTAGTCGTTCGGGGACCGCCTACACTAGGTGTTTAGTACTTCTTTTCCGAATGGGGAGCCTAGGCTTCTGTTGGGGGGAGGAGGGGGAAGGGCTATCTGATGACCTGCTCGGGCACATCTGATCGTTCGGGGGCCCTCTATATTGGGCCTTAGGCACGTGCTTTTTGAATGGGGCCCTACGCAATTGCCAGGGTCCCCGTCTGTTCGCCTCTTCGCCCACACTGGATTGCTGGTGGCCCCTGCACGTGGGTTCTCAGTGTTTGAATTTAGGGCTCTCTGCCCGTATCGAGATCATTTGATAATCTGTTCAGGCACACTCCATCTTTCGGGGCCCTCCGCAAGTGGCAATCTACACTTACTTAATTACATGCAAGGAAAGGAAAGAATTTACCTGAAGGTATACGTGGTTAGCTCCTTAATACAAACTCTGCCTAGATCGCTGAATTTCGCTCGATCCAGATGAGATGCGTCGCATTCGCCGCAACGAAGCACGTCCGCACACATCAAGGTCTGGAACGCGAATGCAACAACCATAGGGCAACAGCTGCAGTCTTTCGCCAGATCAGATCCCGCCACCATTCACGGCGACAATGATGTATAAGAAGAGCTGAAGAAAATAAGCATTCGCAAGATGTTTCACGTCTCTGATCCACCAGCAACCTCTAAATCGGCCCATCGAACGATTTTGTACGGACCTCAAGGACGAGCTTCATAAAAACCGTTGTTACGCAACGTCCACGGCCCCATGAGAAAAACAAGCAAATTCAACATCCGGACCTTCAATGAGACCTCCGTCCAGCTCTGTATGGGAGGTGCCGGGAGCAAAGTGTGATACGCTGCTGAAGGGGGGGGGGGCAATGTTAGCTGTTCCGTATCCAGTGGCTAATCAACAACGTAAAGTCAAGTTCACTGCTTTACTGTTCATGCTTGTTCCTATATTTATGTATAAAATATAAGCACGCCAGCCTTTTTCCGGATGGTAGGCTGTAGCCCGTTACCGAGCGTGGCTCGGAGTAATTCCTGAGCCTGAAGGGATGCACGTCCTCAGGCTGTCATGGGTTCACGTGCCCTAGAGCTAGATTGACACGAGCGGGAGGCAATCATTCTCGGACGTCTGGGACGTAACTGGGATCAAATTCACTGTGACACGGCATGTTCGGGCCTAATGCTGCGCCACAGGTCAGGTGCAATATCAAGACGCCCAGGTCTTGAATTGAAATGGACCGCTTGGGCACACCTCGACAATAAAGCTGACCGACGATAGCGACCCCATATGTCTGTGTCTCAATTTAATCGCCATTTCTCCACCCGTTTTCACTTGTTACACGAGGCGAGCTGTTGTTCATATGATGTATGAGGCTGGTCTATTTGGGAGATGAAGCTAAAAAAACGTTTTGAATGAACCTCATTTTTGGGTAGGGGTCACTGGGCATTGCAATTTCAGAGACGTGCCTTGGCGTCATTTTGCTCAGTGGCATATAAAGATAATGTATTGCTGTTACATTCAGCCGTGTTAAGCATACCTGCTGCCACTTACGCCCTTTATCACTGCCAAGGGTACATCATGTCTCAGGAGTGGCGTTGCCTCGAATAATAGCCGCCATCACGCAGTCAGCTGGATATATGCACACGCACACCCACACCTACACCCACACCCACATCCACATCCCCCCTCCCCCCACCCACTCCCCCCCCCCCCACATACACACACACACACTGCTACATATTACACACCAGGGCGGTGGACACGCGAGCCGGAAACGGAGCGTTTCCGCTGGGCATCACCGCTACAGTCCACGTATCACCACCAGTGTCGATGCTGGCGCCCTAGATTTGTTGCTGCTCCCCCATGCGCCTGACCTTCTCATACCTAGTCGATTCCCATTCCCTGAAGTCTAGCTTCCGCCTCGTATCGTGCCATCGATCTACCCAGGTCGGTGATAGTCGATGGCAGACCGGCAGTCAGAGGTCATTGGCATGGTGAAGAAATTAACGGGGCATCATTGGGTCACAGTCCAAGGTCATTGGGAGGACCGAGGGGCTGATGGCAGTCGTGTCGCATTTGGAGGTCGTTCGGAGGTCACTGGGAAGATCGGAGTAATGCTACAAGGGCAAGCTCTGTTCGCCTTAGCATCGTCATAAGACCTGACTATACGACTAGCGGCCAAACCTCCGCACAATTCCACTCGCTCTGTCAGCCCGCATCACGGTATTAACTTGCACTAATACCATTAAGACTTCTGCGTGCAGAACGTGAAGCCTACGACGTTTTTTCAGTAAATTTGGCAAAAAAATAAATCGCATAATGAGGGCTCCTTTTATGATGGTCAGAGGTAATGACTAGGACACATGGGAAATTAAATAATTCAAACTGAGCGTACTCAAAGTCTTCATAACTGACGGCACGTATCAAGCAAGCATAGCTGTGGTGTAAGTTGTTCAGTGCATTTGCGAGAAACATTATTCACGTAGATAAAACAGCTGCGATAGCCTTGTGACATCCATAGTTGCAATGTTACTGATCGCTGGCATTGACTCGTACAGGGAAAGTGCAGAACATACTCATGGATGCTTTACCGGAGAGCACGCGGGTACCCTCTGGCCTATGTACGGCTTGAACTGGGTCGCCAGGTCTCACAAGTCGACGGCACTTTGCTGCGAGGCATCAGCTGCAGCACGTTGTCGCAATTCTCCTCGACAGGGCACGTCATGTGACAGTCTAGCTCAGAGGCGTAATTTGAGACACGGTGCACACAAAGGTAGCAATGCGTGCGTGTAAACTCACAGATTGCTTCGGTACGTCTTCATACCTGCTTTGTTCACGCTGTTACGTGCTGGATGAGAGGTGGGTTACAGGCACACTAACATCAGTTGTTTGGCGAGTAGTCCACCAGAGAGCTTGTGCGTGGCAGGAGGTACTCGGGACTGCCTGATAAGCCAGCGAAGCGCCTTTCGTTCCAATAACGCTCGATGGTACGAGACCGTACGGCACGATAGAGGCTGATCGTAAGAGGCGCTGTGTCATGATGCAAAACTATCGCAAACATTCCGATGGAAACCTGAGGAGTCGATGTCACAATAGAACAACCGAACATGGGCTGAAGAGCACATGGTATTATTTGGCGCATCCATGCAGTCGTGTCGCGATTTATGCGCGTGTGTAGCAGCGGGCTGCGTTCAGAGACCTATGCGGGCTCCGACGCTCCAGTTCACCAACGCACTTCTCACTGCGATTTCGCACGTCCGGTGCAGCGGCGGAGGCAGACGGCCATCGCCTGTTGGCCGTCACGGACGCACTCGTCCGGTGAGGGTCGAGAGCCTCCCGAGACCGGACGGTGCGCTGTGACAGAGCTGACAATGTGTGCGCGAACGGCGCTGCATCTGGCTCGACTCAGGCCGCAACACCCGCGGATGGTGACTGCTGCCACCACAGCCAGACCTGGGCAGCTTGAGGATCTGTTGCTACCACGACAGCATTGTATCGTGGTCTGGTGACACCAGCAGCGGGAGCGCATACTGCTGTCTCAGCTGGTTCGCCTCACGCAGCGCGCGAAAACCTGATAAACCCGTCCCGTCTACCCAACACACTTTCAGCATGCAGCCACGCGTTCCTTCTTAAGAGTGTTTTCCTTCCATGCATTGTTTACGGATAGCTCAACCCTCTGCTCAGACTTTTCATCACCGTCAGTCTAAACACCATCACCGTTTGGAGACGGTCACGTGACAAAATATGCCCGGCTGGTCACCTCATGCAGCGCTATCACGTGGCTTCTGAGACCGATCCGCGTCCAATCAGCGCCAGTCACGTGTCGGGCCGGCGCTGGGGTCGGCGGCTGCACTGCCGTATGTACATGGACTGAAGGCGGTTCACGTCCTGTTCGCTGAGATGCCTCTTCTGCGACACCTCGGGCAGTGGCGCTGCCGACCAGTGTGACTGCAGGGTGGGTCCGTGACCGCTGGAGAAGGCCCGCGAGCCGTGCATCATGACCGACCTGGCGGAAAACAGGCTGGCTTGGCGGCGCAGCATAATGAAATGCATGCGGTCATCGATGAGATGATAAGTTCGTTGCTCTGTTTTGATTTGTTTTTGTTGCATGCAAGCGTAAGATATATGGAAGATATAGCATAGCATTTGACTGCAGGCTAGAAAGCCTCATATGTATTCAGACCTATCAAAAATGACATATGACATCATATAGCTACAATGTATAAAAACCTAAAACGTGGTGCTTGCCGGAAACTTCCTGTTGCATCAGCGGTGTGGCTAAGCTATGCTATCACACTTCCTTCAATAACATATGCATTGGTCCAGCACCTAGCTGGTCCGTACGGCCGGGAGACCAGCCTCCTAACAGCGCACTACAAACCGGCCCTTTCGACAGAGCCTTGTCAACGTCGCCGCTCGATGCATGGTGACTCACGCGGCGAGACCTGACGCCCCAACTTCTTGACGGGCTCTGTCACGCGCCACGCGTTACGGAGGTAGATTGGAAGCCTGCGAGCGAGCGAGCCTGATTCCGGTAGAAGTGTCAAAGGACATTGTTGAATTGTTGAATAGCAATCTCTTGTGCAACCGTGGCGAGAGCAGAACAGGCATTTTTACAAACGCACTGTTCCGTATCCGACCATGAGCAGATCATCGCCGCCAAGAAAAATAACAGGCGTGTTTCGAGATTAAAGAATGAAATTTGATTCAGCACATGCTAACAGTTCGGAACGGGTAGTGATGCTAGATTCGTCATTTATGCGAGGCAAGCGACGGCACCAGCTTACTTGCTCGCAACGCGCTTACTTACGTGAGGTCCATTCGATCGACTATGTGATGTTGGCTATGGTTGAACCTTTTGAAGCTCTGCTCCTGCCCGTGAGCCACGTTGGTGAAGTTGATACTGATCCAGCTGTCTCTGTCAGGTCGGTTGTGCTCATGCCAAAGGCCGAGCTGAAACAACGACACGCTAACGTTAGTCGATGCGGTGAAGGACCGACAGGGACGGGGAGATGGAGGGAGGTAGAGAGGAAGGGAGAGAGGAAGGGAGGGCGGGGGGGGGGAGGAAGGGAGATAGGGAAGGAGGAAGGGAAGGGAGGGAGGGGAGGGAGAGAGAAACACAGAGAGATAGGTGGCGAGATGGCAGTAGGTGAGAGTGAAAAGATAAAGAGGATATGACCGTTAGCGAGAGAGCAGCGGGGGCGAAAAGATAAAGAGGATATGACCGTTAGCTAGCTCACCGTGTGGGCCAACAGATGCAGCAGGATGCCCTTGTTGAAGCAGCCGTCGCCCAGCATGATGATCTGGGAGTCGCCGACGCCCCTCTGTAATGTCAAAGTCCGCATAAGGGCAGAACATCAGCACGGATCTCCTGACTCACATCTGTCCATTAAGGCGATGATCGTCGGTCATTACGTTCAAAACACCAGAAGTGTACGCTCCAAGATGTGACAAAGCAGGGTTTGTGTGCCACAGCTGGCTCCCCCACCCGCGGTCAACGACAACCGACGCCACGGCACTCACTCTTGAGTACATCCCAGTCACCAGTCATTTGCCGCTCGGGCCCGCGACACGCCCTCCTCTCCGGACGGAAGCACTCACCGCCGCTGCTCTCGTGAAACGTCTGCGCGTGAGCCCCAAGGCAGGGCCCATGCCGCGGAAGTTTGTCATGAGCCCTAGTATCGCCGGGTGGGCGCCGCGGCCACGTCCAGTTCGGTGCTCCCTTCTCTGGGGCACGGCACTGCGCGGGAGGGGCGTTCGCAGCGTCGCTCTGTTCGCACTCGGACGGTGCGCAGTACGTGTGCGGCGCACATATTTGGCACGCTGCCCGAGCCGCTTGCCTCTCACAAGGTCGGCTATCGCATTGCTCATCAATTGGCCGTTCTGTGCGCCCGCACCAGCCAGCGCTGACGCGGTGGCCTCGGCTCCAACGCGAGAAGACAGTGGCGAATGTCACGGGCGCGTTGAGGTTATGTTGGTGAGCAAAGGAGTCGGTCGCCAGCAGAGCGACGACCCCGCGCTAGGTCTGCCAAACATCGACCCTGCTCTAGGTCTGCCAGGCACCGACCCTGCTCTAGGTATGCCAGGCATCGACCCTGCTCTAGGTTTGCCAGGCACCGACCCTGTGCTAGGTGTGACGGGCACCGACCCTGTGCCAGGTCTGCCAGGCACCGACCGTGCGCTAGGTCTGCCAGGCATCGATCCTGCTCTAGGTCTGCCAGACATCGACCGTGCGCTAGGTCTGCCGGGCAATGAACCTGCGCCATGTCTGCGGGACATCGCCATATGTTGTTATGTTGATCTATCATTCTGTGGTTTGGACAGCAAAACCAGACGGCTCCTGCCGTGGCCTGGCGCTGAAAGAACTTTTACTGCACGATGTTCTTTACCTCCAGTGCGCAATCGAACACCACTGGTACGCGGTTGCGCTGATTCCACACTGTTGACACATCATTTTTTTTTATTCAGGCGGTGTCATGAGTTGTTCGCAAGACAATCGGACATAGCTATATTGCTCCCGCGTGGGCGCAAAAGAAACACGCTAAAGTAATGAAAATGCACTTTACTTGTGATAAACGAAAAACCCGAGGTTTGTCGCGAAATCTCACACCTTCTAAGAAGACAATAGCTAAGTGAAAGCATGACGCTTGGTGTCGCACAGCTAATGACGTCATATCGTCAATCTGCAGTGAAACAGAACACGAAATCACGTTATCCTACGTCGGCTTGTGCTAGCAGAACTTTAACAATAACTGTTACGGCAACGGCTATGTTTGATACCCGCATCTCAGCCTTATCTAACACTGATCTTACGAACATGGACCTCAGCTTCCCTATTGAAGAATGGAAAAACTGCCGCAGCATTTTTGTACCCACTAAACGAGTAGACATTCCTGCCGTAGGAACAGCTATTGACTGTCCCCATGTGATTGCAATCGTATATCCATTGCTTAGCACTTAGCCGTATCAGAAATCAACTGCGCGGCACGCTGCAATATCACTGTCTTCAACAGACGCCTGTATGACATGAAATAACACTGCCTTAATAGCACCGCCAGCATCGATACAGCATCGATTTGGTGGCCGCTGATGGGCTGAGACAACGCAGACTGTAATCCATTTGGGGGAGTACGACCGCTGGAGGCCATGCCCAACATCATTATGCCACCAGGTCCAGCGAGCAGCATTGCTGCGTTGTCGGCGTAACAATAAACGACTATTTTCAGTAATTTCCAACGTGCTTAGTTACAACTGAATATCAAACTGCAGAACATACCAGGACACGAGGCTGCCGTATGGATCAGATCGCGCCCAGGTTTACGATGTTCCCGAACACCGGGTCAGCCTGACGCGCTCGGTTATGACAAGTTTCGCACATTAATACTTGTGGTACAACCCAAAATTTTACACTCAGGTGTGGACGGAAGCAAGCTAAAGATGATTGAAAACGGCAGTGAATTTTAGTCTCTTTAAATTTGAGTCTCTCTCTCTCTCTCTCTCTCTCTCTCTCTCTCTATCTCTCTCTCTCTCTCTCTCTCCCTCTCCTCTCTCCCTCTCTCTTCTCTCCTCGACCCCCCCTCTCTTCTCTCTATCTCTCTTCCTCTCTCTTTTCTCTCTCTTCTCTCTCTCTCTCTTCTCTCTCTCTCCTCTCTCCTATCTCTCTCTCCTCTCTCTCTCTCTCTCTCTCTTCTCTATATATCTCTCTCTCTCTCTCTCTCTCTCTCTCTCTCTCCTCTTCTCTATCTCTCTCTCTACTCTCTCTCTCTCTCTCTCTCTCTCTCTCTCTCTCTCTCTTCTTCTCTCTCTCTTCTCTCTCTCTCTCTCCTCCCTCCTTGTCCCTCACCTCCCTCCCTCCTCCCTCCCTCCCTCCCTCCCTACCTCCCCCCCTCTATCTCTCTTTCTTGCGCTCTAGCTCTCGCTCTCGCTCTCTCTCTCTCTTGCCATCTCTTGCTCTCTCTTGATTTATCTTGCTCTCTCCTGCTCTCTCTCTTGCTCTCTTTTGCTTTCTCTTGCTCTCTCTCGCTATCTTGCTCTCTCTCATGTGTATATGTTTATATACATATATAACTAGATTTGCTTTCCTCGACCGCCAAAAACACGACCAACGACTTCGATAGCGAGGGGAGCTGAATGCGTGACAAAATTCGAACCAGTGGCGGGCAGTACTAGGGGGGGGGGAGGGGGGCATCCAATACGCAGCTATCCTCGAAGCCTTGTTCCCTTACGAAAATCACGTGTGCGTTTCGAGCCCTACCTCAACCATCATCAAACTTGTTGTCATTCCTATGGCATGGTTTAAGCCTTGCGCGCCAAGTGCTGCCTGGTGGGCGCCTTTCGCCGCTTTTAAGTGAATTGCAATGTAATTCGTAAGTAGCCTCACATCACACTCACACCCACACTAAGTTTTTCTGGATAGCATACCCACCCCTACAGGAGGGAGAGCGGTGGGGGATGATGAGACGCCACCCTCCATATTTTCTAAGATACCAGTCCGGCATATTGTGCAGTCGTGCTCCAATTTTTGGTAGCTTCTGGGGCATCCATTGTGCGTGTGCTGATACCAAATACATGTCCCTAACATTCCTGCTTTTGTGGTAGCGATGTCTTTTACAAGTACTGCAAGACGATCCACGGCTGGAGGGGACGGCGGGCGGCAAACGATTTCATGTGCCGTCCGCGAAGGTCTGGCACTGTGGGTTTTGCATTGTAAGCCCTACATTATAAGTAAAGGCTCGAAACGGATAAAGCTACCATATCTTTGCACTCAGACTTTGTACTTGTATTTCAGAAAACATTTGGGGGGGGGGGGGTCGCGTCAGCCTTTGTAATTAAACATGAAACACCCCTCTTTATGTTCTCGATGTTTTCTACGCTGCATGGTTTCGTACACATGTGCATAAAGTGCTGAAATAATTTGATTTTCAGGAACATATTACCTTAGATTTTGTCTAGTGGGTTCAGTTCACAACATGAGGCCTTTTACCAATTACCGGATCTCGTTGAAGACAATTCACTGTTCTTTTTTGCGAGACTCTTCCTTAGTTAGTTTGCAAACGGCACGAGGTTCCCCCTCCTCCTATCAATCCGCGTAATGAAAACCGGTGAATCAGGATTAGGGAGAAAACTGTTGAAAAAGCTGGATTGGAAAAAAACTGAAAGCTGTTCAACCATTCTTTGTATTTATTTTGCGCACGCTGGTGTAAAAAGCTCCAATTCAGATCATGAAAAAATCAGCTGATACAAAAGAATCGCGTATTTTGTTATCAACATCCGTTCGTTTGTAGAAATTCGATCAGCAAACCCAAATGCGTGCGAAACAATCGGTACGAGAATCCAACCTTTGTGCCGGCGCGGGCTCGTAGAGCAGTCATTCCTCGTTACCGTACCCGGTAGCCGACGTGTGAGAAGCAGCCGGCGTGCGGTCTGAAGAGCAGCTGCACGGCCCAGGCGGTGTGCGCGGGCGCTGGCTCCCACCGCACGCACGTCCTCTGGTTAAACTCGCTCATCGCCGATTGGAGCACCTCGCACCTGCCGCAAACCGACGACACTGTTCTGTTATCAACTGGAGTCGGAATCCGAGCCCGAGTCGGACTGGTGTTTCGACTCGAACGCCATGCTGTTGGAATGATTCGAGATGTGATTGGACGGGTTGTCATGCGACGTGATCGCCCAAGGACAGGCGTTCGAGCTGTTAGCACTAGGATAGGTCATTGCCACTGTTGACTTTCGGCCGCTGTAGGCAGTGCATTTTTGGAATTCCACTCTTTTATGACAAGTCAATATGAATCAGAAAATGACGCTGAATCTCAGTCGATCGACACCCGAGGCGAGCCATGCTGTCACAAACAAATGTTCCCTCACACAAACACGTTTCTGGTGCTGTTTCTTCGGTGAACAAATGGACAAATACTGTATCTGTGGAAGGGTCAGAATTAGTCGGAGAGGGTAATATGCCTCCGACCTGGGTTAGCCAGTTTGAAATGTACTTTGCAGAGCTGTTGGCAGCTATTTCTTACCTAAGCAACGACCCTATCTGACCGTGGAGCGTCTTCTCTGCCCTGTTGAACTTTCTCTCTAGCGGCTGTATTCTGTCAGCCCCAGTAAATGTCTTCCCCCGGACCCCGGACTTTCCCTCTCTGACCTGCCGACAATCTACTTCCGTTCAGTTGACCTGAAGTAACCAGCACCTCTTTTTCCGGGTGGCCATTCTATTGATGACCTGCGAACTGCATCGGCGCTGGGTGCGCGGCGATCCGCCACCGCGCCTCTCTGAACCGATGGACTGAGAGGCAGCCTGGCTCTGAATCAGTGGCTGTCCTCTCCTCGACTCCTTCCTCTCTTAGATGATGACAGACGTCGCCGAAAAAGCGGCCATCCTCCTATTATTTCGTGATTGCTGAGACCCTCTGATCTAACAGTCAATAACCATCATTTAGGCACGGCCCGATGACCTTCTCCTGACAGATCGGATGACCGTTTTCTGTCAGGTCGGATAATGGCCCCGCGCGGTCTGATCGCCGCGTCATCTCTGACCCAGTTACCGTTCCTCCCCCTGAACTCATGATCCTCTCCACCCTCACGGTCATCCTCTGCCTGGCCTGATAATCGTCCCTCACCTATCTGATTCCCGTCCTTCGCTGGCCTGACGACATCTCCCCTCGACCTGAAGATCCTCACTGACCATTATCACCTTTCGCTGACCTGGCAGACGAGGGACAGCCGATGGCTTCGTCAGGCCGGTAGGGGACGCGACCCTGGGGCCAGAGCAGGCGCCGGTCCCTGGTCGCGCTCAGCTGGCCGAGGTCACCGGTGTCCAGCTCCAGCATGTCGCCCTCGGTGATGTTCTCGCCACCGCGGAACAGCTCTGCAGCACACACGCCCCGCTGCAGAGCCCTGGCACGAACCGGTGTTGCAGGCGGGCTGAGTGAGGGCGATGTGTTCGGAACCCCGTCAGGTGAAAGGGTCAAATATTCCCCTCGAGGCATTTCTAGGGGCGCAGAAAACCTATGCATGAGGTGCCGCGAAATTTGTCCTAGTTGATGTTATATTCTGCTCACGTCTCTCATTAGAAAAAAAAGCGGACCCTACCACTGCCAAGTCCCGCAAGATCAGTGAACTAAGAAGTCATCTGCTGGCCGACAGAATAATTTGACGGTAAACCATTTGTTGCTATTCAATGAAAATAACTGGTGCTTTTGGGCATAAAATCAGTACCGTGTGGCAGCATACCAGGATGCAGTTCACTTCTCATAGGTTGTTGACTTTCCAAGTTCAAATGATGTCACTGAACTACGGTTACCTCGTTCGAACCGGGAGGCTATGCCACCGACTTTTAATAGCGGGGACGAGGTCGTAAAACAACCATGACACGTGATTTAAAAAAGAAATGAGCACTTAAACATGTAATAGGCAATTGGCCTTCTTCTAAAAGACCATTGCTATGCGAATTCCTTTTGTGCCTTACGTCGCATCACCTAATGGCATTGGGGCGCCGGAACCGGGAAGCTGGTTTCTGGACTGCATCATGGACTTCCTTTGTTTCTTATGGACTTCAAAACAAAACGCATATTAAGTTGCATGCCTCCACGCGTAGTACAGGTTTTTAACCCGTACCGGACTGGTGCGGGTGTGAGTCATACGTGAACCCTTGAAGATCTTCCAGCTCTCCGTGAATCTGATATGAGACAATGCCCGTGAAATCTTCAGTGCGATTTGCCCAGACATGAAGCCAACACTTTCATCACAGGGCCAAATGTCAACTTTTCTCTGGAATCCTGTGAGATTGGGCCACATCCTCCGAAATCGCCCCGTACCAAGTGCACACATCTTGGCTCAGGGGACCAGTTCGCCATTAGCCCCATACTTGGCTACGTCCCTGTATCTTGTTTATTTGTTGTTGTTTTTTTGTATATGGTAGGTGATGTGAAATTATCTTATTTCAGAACACAATTACTTTTTGTTTATTCATGTACCTAAAAACATCATTTCGCATTAGGGTCATTATATTCAACTGCGAAAATCTCATTTGTAATATGTTTCGGGAATGGAAATATGCAACCATTTTGCGAATTTGTGTCATTGGCGATGATGTTTCAACGACTCAGTCACTCAGCGGCAATACTCCAAAGTTGATTCTTGCCAGTAACGCCAGCGACTGGCGGTATGCTCGCTGAAAGCTATTCCGCTAGAAGTATTAAGGCCATGAAACATTTCAATTTAAAAAAGTAAATGCAGGTATCTAGCAAGACGGGATACGTATACGATATTCAGCAATTCTGTCCACACCTTAACAAGGTGTGGGGGTAATGAAAGTTAGACTATGACTTCAGATTAACCTCCTCAGTGCATTGAAATGCTTGGAAATCGAACTTTTCCTCCATGTGGAAATCGAACGCGCAAAAGTTGCACGAGTTTCGCGCCACTCCCCTTCAATGTATTTTGGGACAAATCACAGAACCACGAAAGGGAACGGATTCCCCCCTCCCCTCCCCCGGACCGATCCGGGACCAGACACTATTTTGATTTCGAGTGGAAAATGAATCACACCAAAACTGTTGGAAATGCAATTGTTCAAAGATACAATAATGCTGTATTTGAGTATCGACAGGATAACAAAATTCCCAAAAATGGTCCTTTAAATTCTTCGAGTGCGGTAATGTGTAAAAAGGATTATATAATGACGCTGTCACGGGACACCTACGTACAAAATGCTTCGATGCGAGCAATACACGTAGCCATATTAACGTAGCCATAAACGTAGCCATATAAAGTACGTCATCTGCAGGGCTGAGCCACTTTGAGTTCCAAACTTACTACAAAAACATGGCGGTGGACGTGGTGATGGCACGTGATGGTCATTGAAGTGGAGTGTACGAAGAGAGCAGTCATGCCTGAGGTATTAAGGATTTGGCATTGTTGCACGCATAGCACGGTTAAATTTTATGTCCCTTCTTCCCATAAATTAGTGGAACATCCATTAGTAATAATTAAGAACGCACAATCATGGAATCATATGCATAAGTGTAACAACCAAAAGTTGTCAGACACTCGGTGATGCTTCTAATCTGACGTAAAAATTTTGCACGGATGCGGGGAAAACATGGAATGTGTTCGGCCAACATAAGGAAACACCACCGGGCAACCTTTTGGATGTTGTAGTAGCACTGTGCTAATATTTGTAGCCGTGCAATCCCGCCGATAAGAGCGGAGCTATATCGTGCTAAAAGTTGGGGAGGGGAGCCCTTTAGCAAAAACCAGTGTAAGGAAAAAAGGCTGATAAAGAAATAAGAAGGTATCCTGCAAGAGCGCTACCGGGATAGAGGGAACCATCCCCTACTATTCGTTAATGAAGGGCCGCCTCTCGTCCCCTCTCCACACGCCCCCATCGGCGCCGCCCCTGCTTGAACCTGAGTCAGTGCTAGACTCAGTTTTGTGCGTGCCTTATTTAGAACACTGTCCTGCGGCGTGGATAAAAGCGCAGTCTCTATCACGAAAACTCAAACCTTTTAACTGCGTTTTTCTAAACGTCGTGGTTCAACTGAGTTCAGAGGGTGCCGGACGGCCTCAAGGGATTAAACTGAACATCATTGGATTCATCAGTCACCAAGCTATCCGCTGTGTTTTGTTCCGGGTCTGTAGCCCAATTGAGGACCGAATAGTCAGGTTGAATACTAACTCAACAAGAACAGTGAATGTGGCTGCAATCTCACGAAATTACTCACCAAAAACAAAGTAGCATAATTTGTGTAACAAAATGGGGAAATATTTATTCCAAAGACGACGTTCGTTTCAAACAGGTGGGAAAAGAAAGCCATGCCGTTCTTCTCGCACAAGCAGAATTCGATAAGGATCTAATTTGGTACCAAATCTGACGCATGATAAATAGAATAAGCGGGCGCGAGGCCATGGTTTGTTGTCAGGGCTGTCCAAATATCCGTTTATGTCTACTCCAGGGAAGTTTTTATTTAATCAGTATGACACTCTTTGCTGTTGTCGTTTGCGAAATTTACTCGCTTGGTCCCACGCGACCATTTACGCAAACGTTAAATGACACATTGCCACATGATTGCTCAACAAAAGGCTGCCAGAGTAACATTTACCGGCTACATGGATATACTTAATGAAAAACGATGGATTGTGTCTCTTGTCAGTCCTATTGCCCTGCATTTTAGAAAAGGGTGACTGCGGAATACGGCGGAACCAAATCTGGTGCCAGTGGAATAAATGCCAGCAAGACAGGGGCTACCGCCACTTTTTCAGATTTCTGTTCCCTGACCTTGGTGGATGAACGTTTTATTGGATAGGTGGATGAACGCGTCGGTTACATTCTAGGCCTTCCGGTCCATCTATTGGGAAAAAGTATTGCGTAAGCAGTAAACGTCTGGAAAACAAGGATCACGTCAACAAGGAGAAGCCGCATCCTCTTACGTAGTAAGCTAGGCAATGATTTCGCGATGGTTTCAGTCCGCTTCAATGATGAGAGCCTTGTTGGAACTTAGGTCAGATTGACGAAGGCATGCCCTGGATGAACAGTGCCCTACCACTCATGTCCACGGAGCTTGGTTTGACGCGAACAGCTACATTGTGTGGTCCTTTTCACCCTTTTGGCAGGGAAATGGTGATATGTGGGCTCTCTCGACTTCTTGAACACCAGTCCACCACGTGAGCGCCCGGCCTCCCACCCGCTGGACCGTCATCCCAGAACCTAGACGGAACACTCTTCAAAGCGCGCGGAAGGATTGCTGCTTTTTGGAATATTCTGAACCCCAGTATGATTGTTACCGATGAATTGGTATTGACTATATCTGTGGCGGGGATGCCGAAAGACCAGCTATGTGTATCGAACAAACGACCTTTGAGATGGGGTCTCACATCATTAAGCACCATTGCTTCAAGTTATACCCTGCTGGTAAAGCAGAGTGCTCCACGATGGTCATAGCAGAAGCCCAATCCTCGAATATTCTGCGACAGTCATAAAAAATGCAGTAGGAGGCCACGCGGCACGCTGCGCGTACAAAACTGTCATAGCTGGTCGACGATAATGAATTCCATACCTTGATCTGATTAACAGGGACTGCAGGTCACAGTACAAGAATACAACGAAGCTGCCGTTTCACAAAGCCAAACTCAAGTAAGAACTCAACGTTATTCGTCGACACGACACAAATTAAAAGATAGGAAAACTTGTTCCATCTGTTCGTTAGCCTGGTCTAACACATCGCCCTTCATGCCCTTGTACAGCCTACGGTAGCCCAGCTGTTCGTTAGCCTGGTCCAAGACCCTTGTCCTCCTCCAATGCCCCTTGTGCAGTCCACGGTCTCCCAGCTGTTTGTTAGTCTGGTCCAAGACGCCGCCCTCCAATGCCCCTATACAGCCCACGGTGGCCCGCAAATCATAACGCACACGAGCGCTATCAGGAGACCATGTCAGGAGATCCTGGTTCGGAAGAGGGCTGAGAACCCAGTTCTGGGGAAGCGATACATTGTCTTCGTTGTTAGCGACTTGGACTTCCAAAAGGTGGTCAGGTTTTATTCCTTGCTGGAGCTATCGCTGCTGGACGCAAGTGGGACCATTGTAGTCGCTGGCACTTTTAAAATCGACGCGCTACGACAATTTCCGTGTAACTTTAATGGTTTCATTAAAGCCCCGGCAGAGCTCAATCTGTTTGGGTATTCCGGTCAGTCATACGAGTCTACGAAGCAGCGCCATGAATGAACTGTAATGCCGTCATGCTGTGCTGATATCCACGCTCCACCAAACGTCTTGGGCGATGAGCTGTCGCTCAAACCAGCTGCCCGGTCGCCAGAGAGAGTCCGTGTGCGGTCGAGAGGCAGGAACCTAAGACTTCAGCACTGTGATGCTAGACACATGGCGTAGACCACAAGCTTCGCGTCCGAAAACATTCCGTGATACATCCCTGAGAGTCCTTTATCGCAGCCGACAAACGATCTTACTAGACCCGTCGGGGTTGAAGAGGATGTTCCTTCTCAGGGCGCGGTGCAGAAAGATGGCGCCGACGCAGGCAGCCGCCAGCGCCAATACCAGCGCTAGCACCAACAGCAGCAGGCAGAGGCGGCAGGAGCGTGTGCGGGGGGCGGCCGAGCGGGCCGGGCCCGTGCCCTCCTCGGCAGCAGCCACCTCATACCGGCCACGGGTCATCAGGGCTCACCACAGTCGTTGCGTTCGGGAGCAGCACCTGCGCATGGAGACGCACCCGGTCATAGGGGAAAACCTAGGCACGGAAACACACCTGGACATGGGGAAAACCTGGACGCCGAGACACGCCTGGATATGGGAAAACCTGGACATGGAGTAGGATCTGTCCAAGGGGATGTTTTGAAATCAGGGAAAACCTGCACACGGGGACGCGCGTGAACATGGGAAACCTAGACATAAAAACGCACATGAACCTAAATGAAACCCATCCACAGGAACGGGTGTCGACATCCTGTGACAGACAGGCATGAGAAGGCACACAAATTTATGGGGCACGGTCACGAGGGCATGGCACGGGCACGGGCAAGAGGGCATGGCGCGACATATAGATATGGAGTGGGGCACGGACGGAGTAACACACAGAGGCAAGGGCCAGGGTAGCGCAGCACGACATCTACCGGCTGCATGGGGCAAATAACCGAAGCTTTCCGGGTCGAGAAATCCCCAAGCATGCGGTTAGGGAGGGATCTCACACGACTCGCATTCATGAGCATGTAAAAAGCCTTCGGATCACTCGGCTGGTAGCCAACATGTGCCAACTGGCATCGTGTTGCCAAGATGAACGAAATGCAGATAATGTAGCAAGCAACAGAACTACCGAGGCGTCCAAGATTGGGAGAGTAAAAAGCGTCCAATCCGTACGTAATGCCATCTCTGTTGCTATTTTGAGTGGGTTGGTCATGTTTAAGCTTGGATGCTTTTCCCGCATCGTAAGCAGTTTGTCGCGTTGCACCCTAAAGCTGACGCGAAACAAATTTCGTTCTCAGGTAAAGTATCGGCGTCCAACGGCCACGTCAGCTTTTCGTTCCAGCGAGCCGACGCTAGATGCGAGCTGCCAGCCTGCTCGCCTCCCCAGGGACCCCTGACACACCAGATTCGACGGTGCCAGCGTCGCCCGGCCGCTGCAAACCGCGTGGGACAGCACCAGCTGGCTAATACAAACACGCCTGTCATTGGCCGTTCTTTGCACGGCGGTGTGACGGTGATCCGGGGCGGCAGCTGCGAGGGGGCTAGGTGTGCCAATGGGAGGGGGGCTCCACGCTGTGAGGCTTTTACGAGGGCCTGCAGCGTACCTGTGTGATTTGGTTCGTGCTTAATAAATGTTTGCTGATGCGATGTTGGTGACCGTAATGTACACTAGGTTTATGCAACGTTGGACGACAACTTTGGGGATGCAAACGAATTTTGGCCCCTTTTCCATTCAACGCATTAGGCCCGCGGCTAGTATTTTGCGATGCTTATATATATAAATTAATCTGGTCACACAGACTGCGCGAGCGGTTGTAATGGCAGAAAATCACTAATATGAACTTTCCAAGGTCCCGCGTCGTTTGGAATTCGTTGAAGCTCTTGCAAATTTATCAGAAGAACCAAATCATCTAGCCTTTTGCCGGGAACAGATAGCGCAATACGGATTTTGAACGGACAAAGCAATGGTAACGGGGTCAAGCGACCCACTTAAATTTTCCGTTACGTCAAATGCTCGGCCAGAACTCCCGTTGTCTCTCCCGGTCCTCACCTTTCAGCGCGGCCGTTCGACCGGCGAGCCTTCCACCTGATCGTGTCACGCAGTCGTCCCCGACAAACAGCGCCCACCGGGGCGCACTGCCTCGCGCCTGGAGTTGGAGTGCTGCACGTGACGTGACCCCGCCCCCCCCCCCCCCCAGCCGAGCGTCGCTACGCCAGTACCGTTGGAGTCACGCCAACGACCAGTGGCGTATTTACAGTCGGTGCATCGAGGTCGCTCAGCCAAGGTCAGGCTCCTGAGCCGAGCTCACTAAGCCAAGTTCATAACTTTCGGCGCACGTTCCAGCGTTGCGACCCAACGACACATACGGCGTGCCCGCTGGCCGATTCCTGAACTCGCCCCTGCCAATAGAGCTCGCCGTGCTGCCAGGCCGCGGGCGCCAGGTCGGCGCTGCAGCACCACGGGCACGACAATGCATTATAGTGCCTTCCTCGAGTGTCTCGTTGCTGCAGAAGCGGGCGGAGCGCGTGCAGTGGACCGATGCTCGGGCCAGGAGCCTAAAACAGTGCTGCAAATCATTGAAAGTTTGAATGGATTCCTGTAAGCACGCGTGTCGTAAGGGAGTCAGTTTCGGAAACGTGGTCTTCGTGACCGCTTTGTGAATCGGCCTGGAATGAAAGGAGATTTATTTCCGGTGTATTGCCTACACGCGCGATTCCAAAGGGTGCGAGTAAGCAGTTCCACTTTTTGATACTAACCACTGAACCACACACCAGAACAGAAATATTCATGCAAACAAACAAACAAACAAACAAACAAACAAACAAACATGAACCATACAACCAGAACTACTACAGAAAGTCGGAACAAAGCCTCCGTGCCTTTCTGAAATGGGCGCAAATTTGCTTTTCTTGTGTAATGCCCAGAGAAGGTAATACATCAGAGAAGGAGTTCTTTGTAATCTTTCCAGAAATCTCGCTAAGTAACCCAACCAGCACTTAGCTGGCGCTGAGGGTGGCAAAGTGGGTTTACCAGGCAAAGCCTAACCTAGCCAAACTTATGACATCGTTCAGGTAGCTCTGCGGTGATGCACGATCCCAACAAAACCCAATCAGATCAAGATACAACACAGCCGCTACTTTAAAGACTACGTGTATGGGAATACAGCCCTCTGTGGGCTCCAGCTGGACTGGTCTGACCAAGGCAAGCGTGCATGCGTGAGTAGTTATGGCGTGTAGTGTGGTATCCGGTGGAAAATGTGTCGCGATTTTGAATGCACTTGACGGTGTCTAATGACAAGCAACCATGTCAGTTTTCATTTTGCTTGATAGCACGTGCCCTGGAGTTATATCTTATTTGTTCCAGATTAACTTAGAACAATGGCACTGCTCAGTACGGAGCAAAAGGTAAAGGAGCGAATTTGTCAAGTTGTATTCGTCAGCGATATCCAATGTCACAACACAAAAGCGATTAAGCTTTCACCTCAAAAGCAAACACACAGCTTAAGAGGTGCAGGGTTGACAGGGCGGCCATGATGGTAGAAGTCCCCCCCCCCCAAAAAAAAAACTGGATATGGCCCACTGGATTTCAAGGGGGGCATTTTCTCTTCCTTTTGTTTTATCTTTACCTTTTTAACTGAAACTTAAGTCAAAAGCTAGCGTCCTCGCGCCTCCGACCCCGTCACCCTGTGCCATCTGCACCAGTCGACGCCGTTTAGTAGTACGGAAACTGGAATCTCGGCCATAGCTGTCCCTGATCCTAAGGCTGCAAACGTGCAGACTCAATAACTTTTATGCAAGTTGCTCAACTATCCAAGCCTGCAAAATGATGAACTTTCTCAGGCAAACTTGGCTTAGTTTTTCATCTCTGGTTTCATCCTTTGATTCACTCTCTTGAACGCTAATGAGATCCCTCACCTTTTTCCGACCAATAGGCTAATGTGTAGAGTACTATGGGCATATTATCATCCCAGTGCGGGGTGCCACTCTGGTGACACGGGGGCTCTCATAAGGATGCATCATGAACAGGTCCCCTCCCCAACGCTTTACCGTGCTTCACCGTGCCGCATGGTCGAGTAGCGCAACTGTTGCGCGATCTGTGTACGCATAAGACCTGTGGTCCTGATGGACTAAGCGCATAAATCTTGCAAATGTACGCCGATGAACTGTCTGCACCGATTCAGGTGATATGCCAACTATCCTTTAGATCTGGAATCTTTTCCGCAGTATGGAAACAGGCTTATGTGATTCCGGTGCGCACAAAAAATGTTTCAAAAAGTTCCCTGATAATTATCGACCTGTCTCTCTGCTGCCAATTTGCTCAAATATCTTAGAAAAGGTCGCTTGTGCTTGCCTGTTACCTGTGCGCCTGCCAGCTCTACAATCATCTGAACACGGTTTCCTTTCAAAACGATCCTGCATCACCAACCTCCCTTGCATTCTTGGGCACTGCTGGACCTCAGTCGCCCGAGGTAAACACACTGACGCCATTTACACATATTTTTTCTCAGCGCTCACCAACGCCAACCATGTGCTTCTGTTGCACAAGCTTCGGCACTCTTCCGGAGTTACTGGTGTCGCGTACGACTGGCCTGAGTCGTACCTGATCAATCGCAGGCGGCGAGCCGTCGGCAGTATCTTATGACCACTGCTGTTCGCATGTTTCCCGGCGGGCCTACCCAGTCGCATGGCAAGCGAGTGCATTATGTATGCCGGTGGTGTAAAACTCTACGCTGCATTGAAGGCAGTGTACACTGCGTCACCCTCCAGTTGGACTTGGATCGCCTCTGCGACTGGTCTCTAACATGAGGACTGAGCCTCAACCTAGTTAAGTGCAAATTTGTTCCCTTCGCACTCCGTGCCTCTCCTGTTATTCATCAGTACACAATATACGGGCACTACCTGTAAAGGTTTGATGAGATCCGTGACCTCGGCGTTCTATTGGACGCAAAGCTCACTTTTGCATCACATGTTGACGCTTCTCTCGCCAAAGCTAAAAGATTGCTTGGAATGATCGCACGCAGCATGCAAATGTGGAGGCGCCCGCGCCGAGTGCGTTTCAACCAAACAGCCTTGCTGTGCGCGTTCACCGCTCATGTGAGATCGGCCATGGAGTATGACAGTGTTATCTAGGGCGGGGCTGCCATCACACACCTTGCTCGATTCGGGTGACTCCAGCACAGGTTCCTAATGTGGCTGCCTGCAAACACCCGGGATAAGTGCCCTTTTCTGTAATATGAGAGTCTTCTCTCACATGTCCTCATGCCGTCAATCGAAGCACGTTTCGCCCAGTCCGATCTACTATTCATGCACAGCATATTTCACCATCGGGTGAACTGTGCACAACTGACCACACTATTTCGACTGGCAGCACCAGTAAGACGTTCGCGCCATGCTGGTCCCATTTACGTGCCGTTTGAAAGAGTAGAAACAAGACTCCCTGTGCGCATGCCCGTCACCTGCAATCGCCTTATTCAGGATATTCCAACAGCTATCTTTTTTCATCCGCTGTTATTCCGTTCCCATGCACGCAAGTTTGAGAGTAGCGTGGGCACGTTCACCTAGTCTATCTGCTCGCCAAAGGACTTAGTAACTATGCAAGCAAAATACACGTGTGTATTTATTGTTTTTAGCTTACTGACTGCATCCGTAACTGATCACCTATTGAGCCTGTGCATGGCTTATGGGAAATAAGAAACAAACAAAAAACATGGAGTCCCTCTAATCCAGACAGCTGGCTCCTGATCCAGCAGAGCGATTACTGACGAAAAAGATCCTCTGTTGTCGCAGCGGCTCAATAATTGTCACGGAAACTCTTCTTCAGCTTAACGGACCCTCGGCTAAAATGGAGTGGAGGCCACCGTTGGGTACTAGGACCCCTGACTGGTCGTTAGCTCTCATAACTTCTTTTATTGTTGGGAGGATTTAACCAGCGCGAGAGGCCCTCCGACACTCGGGGTTCCTTTCCTTTCCGTGTTCAGCAAACGTTCCCCTGGTCGCATCGTGATCCTTCCTGACACAGATTCCCTGGTGTTCACTGTCGGCCCCTGACCGACACAGGGGCCCTCATTGTTTTAGGGGCCCCGAGCAATGAAAATGAGTTGTCCCGGGTCGGCAAATGGGTCCCAAGGCTCAAACCAACACGGAACCGACTGCTCGGTGTAGTGGTTTCTGGCCGGAATAGAGGTCGACATGGTCCCAGCAGGTTCCCAATCGGTGCTACAGGTCTGTATTGCCCAGGGAGTCTCCAGTTGGTGCAAGAGGCCCTCTGACTGACGTTTAAGGTTCCGACCGTAAGGGCCGGGGTCATTTATGTGATCTAAAGGGAGCCTTTCGAGCTCTTCGATGTTCTAATCAGGCCTCCGATCGGCGTTCCTGAGGATCCTTTAAGCCCACCCATACACTGTCCTGGCCGATTCGGGGCCCTTTGCCGACACTGGGCCACATTTAAGACACTGTAGACCTCTGACGGACACAGGAGCTGCTGGCCGACACAGGGGGCCTCTCATTGATTCAGGGGCCCCAATCACCGCACAGTGCGACCCCAGATTTTCCTGCTTGGGAAATGGAGCCACACACGTAGACTTACACTGAACCAACCGGTCGGTGTCGGTGGTGCCTGGCCGGCGTAGAGGCCCTTGTCGACTCAGGGGGGGGGGGGGGGACAGTGGACGCAAAAGGTCCTCTGACTGGATTTGAGAGTTCAGCCCAGCGCGCCAGGTACCTTGCCGCGACCTCCGGTCAGCCTTTCAGGCCATTAAACCGGGTCCCTTATTGCCGGTGCCGAGGGGCTTCCTAGCCCCCTCGAACACGGCTCCGGGCCATGTCGCCCCCTTTGCCAACGCGTGACCCCAACAAGATAATGAGGACCTTTAATAGACACCGAGTACCCCTGGCCGTCTCGGGGGTCTTTCACTGACTCAGGGGCCCCGACCAACGTAAATCGGGGGCCGCGGCCCTGCCCTTACTTGGGGAATAGGCTCTCAGGGCCAGACCAGCATGGAGCCGATCATTCGACCGTCGGTAGATCGTGCCTGGCCCCATCGACTCAGGGGCCCCTAATGGGAGCAAAGGACACTCTGGCGGGCACTTGAGGGGCCTGTCCTGCGGCCGGGGCCCATTAATACGCTCTCCGGCCAACCCTTTGGGACCTTCG